GTTTCGAAAGGAGATATTAGTAAACACTCGTAATCGATGCTAAATGCGCCTGGCATGTTTTTCATCGCCAGCGGAGTTTCTTAATAGGACAATTACACGATGACGTCATTTTACTACAACTACCAGAATCCTTGAGTTTGTTGTTTTCTTGTGCAAATTAAGGCTATTGTTCTTTAATCCTCAGCGGGATTGACAAATTTAAATAACAAAGCAACAACGAAATGAATTCTGGTAGTTGTAGTCAAATATCGTCATCGTGCAATTGTCCTATTAATGAATAGTAAAAGCGTGAAATTCCTGTCACGCCTCCTGAACGCGAGCTGCAGTGATGTTATTACAGTCCCTCTATTTTTCTTGGTTCCTCCCAAATAGTCTCCCGGCCCCATAAGTAGTTTTGACACTCATGCAAGACGGCAGCCCGTAACGCAAAGCGCTCGTTCTCGATGATCTTACGGAAAAATACAGGACTGTGAACAGTCTACCATCTCAGGGGCCTTCGACCTTCGTTTTCATGAACTTGTCCCGGAATTTGCTTGCTAACTGTTGTGACAGCTACCTCGTCTAGTTTACTCTTTTTTACCTAGCCCTTTAAGACTATTTTAGTTGGTTTATTCACGACTTTTGGCCTTTCTCGGTCTTCAAAACCTTCATTTCTCGATGACCATATTACCATCCATTACATTCGTATTTTTCCACCTTTCAGCGATTTCTTTAACTCAAAGATAAGCATAGCCGACCGAGAGTTTTTGCTCTAAGAGGGGTTGTCTTTCATGATATTCACAAAAAACAACGAAGGAATTCGAGCAATTTGGGCTACAAAATGCAAAAAATATATATGTGGCTGGAAAATATATCTTGCGCGCGAGAGTACCAAAGGTATTCAAGTCAAAAGATATGGTACGACAAGTATGAAATATTAAATAAGATTGAAAAGACACAACTTTTATTTACAGCGATTACCACTAACACGCCCCCTCAAGGGGTTTTTTCTTCGGTTCAAACCTGCCTTTTGGTGGACGTCAATCAACCGTTACCATGGTTTTCACACGTTGGCCAAGAGAAGATTCTTTCCCCGTTTCTCAAGCACTCGGAGGAAAATGTCGGTGTTTAAGCCGTGTTTGCAATATTATTTTGCTACAGGATCTGACACCGCTTCATGTGAAGATTACGAGGAGTACGAATTTCTGGAGTGTGTAAGTTACAACCACATAAGCTTTCTCAATACACGCTGGCAGCTCGTCTGAGTTCTTGCCACTTCAGGATTCTATTGAGTATTCGATAATATGAAGAATGACAACTAGATCTTCAGGTTACAAAATTTATTTTCGAAAACAGCTTCCGTTCAGAGGAAACCTTTGTCCCTTGACGGTGTGATATCTTCCGTTTCTTTGAATTTATGGTCCTTGGCAATTCGTCCACCGCTCCCGTGTTTTCATGCAATCCAATAAATAAACAACCCAAAAACATTTACGTTAACTACAGTCAACTTTCGCCTTGCGGACACCCCGCTATAAAGGACACCCCGATAATACGGACAGCAGATAAATTCCGGGCAAAAATAAATTACACACATTTGACTGAAATAAACTCCCGCTATTACGGACTCTCGCTACAGAGGACACTAACTTAAGGTCCCTATAGTGTCCGCTATAAAGGGAGTTGACTGTATAGAGAGTATTTCGTCTATTTCACTCAGCTGGCAGAGACCTCGTTGTTTTGACCATGTAATCCTTCATCTTAATCAAATAAAATTAAAAACGCCGTCGTCATGCGAAATTATTCTGGTACTTTGCCTCCGCC